GCCTTTCAGGTGGTACTTAAAAAACGATTTTATATCATTTATGCAAAGTAAAAAACATTTTTTGCCTAAATTTTTGTGCATGATCAGTGCAAGTATATTTACTATAAAACTTGTCTAAAGAGTATTAGTACAATCTGTATATACAATATACTATATGTGAATAAAATTTTACGTACCTGCATGTGATCTATCAACAATTACAGGTATAGTAAAACTTTTGTCAAGCACTATAAGTTAGATTAGTTAATTTATCTAGTATATTCTAGTATATTAGGGTTTTGCAAAATAACACAATATTTTTTAACAATACAATATAAACTGATATTTTACACTTATGTTTAACAAGATTTTAGCTTTTCTAATTTTCTTCTGATCTTGTTTACTTCAGAACTTTTATTAGTAATATTGTTAATAATTACTTCACATAAAAATACAAGTATATATATAATATGTGGCACAAATAACCTCAAAGAAAAGTTTCACAAATTAATACCAGACCTTTTGTTTAAGGCTATGCGAAGCTTTGTTATTTTAAATTTAAAAAAGAACTCAGTTTAAACGACCAACTTTATCAAATTTATTATAATAAGTTGATAGCATTCAATAGAGGCTTAAGCCCAAATAAAAGACAAAAATTTGAATTAACCTCAGATTATAATATTAATGAAAAGCATAATTACAATGATCCAAATAAATAATTCAATACTGAAAATTGTTATAAAAATGGCATAGACATTTCTAAAGATAAAAACAAGATATATGAATAGTACTTGCAATTTGCCCAAAGTAGAAATTCTGACAGACAGTTAAGTGCTAAAAATTGCTACCAAAGTAGAATAAGCATTTCTAAGAATAAAAAAAAGCATTTGAATAGTACTTGAAATCTGCAAAAAGTAAAAATTCTGATGGAAAGTTAAATATTGAAGATTGCTACTAAAATAGAATAAGCATTTTTAAAGATGAAAAAAGGTAGTTGAATAGTACTTAAAATCTGCTGGTAGTAAAAATTCCTACAGACAATTGAACATTGGAAGTTGTTATCTAAATAGAATAAATATTCTTAAAAATAAGAAAAAGGTACTTGAATAATACTTAAAATCTGCTAGAAATAAAAATCTCGATAGACAATTAAATGTTAGAAATTGTTATCAAAATGGAATAAATGTTCCTAAAAATGAAAAAAAGACATTTAAATAGTACTTGAAATCTGCCAAGAGTAAAAATTCCAAAAGACAATTAAATACTAAAAATTGCTATCAAAATGAAATAAGCATTTCTAAAGATAAAAAAAAGCATTTGAATAGTACTTGAAATCTGCCGAAGGTAAAAATTCTGATAGACAATTAACTGTAGAAAATTGTTATAAAGATAGTATAGGTATTTCTAGAGATAAGAAAAAGGTATTTAAATAGTACTTGAAATCTGCTGAAGGTAAAAATTCTGATAAATAACTAAGTATTGGAAATTGCTATAAAAATAGTATAGGTGTTTTCAGTAATGAGAAAAAAGTATTTGAATAGTACTTGAAGTCTACTAGCAATACGAATTCAATAAACAGTTAAATGCTAAAAATTGTAATCAAAATAATATTGGCATTTCTAAAGTAACTTCAACACCTGTAATATTTAATAAAAAAGGTATCAGAAAAAAACTTTTTTCTAATGTGTAGTCAATATTAAACAATTTGCTGCCTTTAAAAAAGATTCTAAAAAAAACTTTCAGAACTAATTACACATCATCTTTTGGTTTCTGAAAATGAGCAGCTTATTGTTCATATGCATAGCATTCAATTAAATATTAATCATGATACCATTAATTTAAACTATTAACTATTTAATCAAAAAACAAGTCTTACTAAATTAGATGTCATTGTTCAAGTATATGATAAATCTTTGTTTTCTCAAAATGGTTACTATCAATTGGCTGCTATCAAACCTCAACTTATTCAAGAATATGAAGTTGCTGCCTGAAGAATTGAAATAACAAACCTAATAAATAAGAAAATTAGAATTAGAATTTTTAATATAAATCATTCTAGCCTGAGAATAATATTTCAAAACATAGTAAAAAAATTGAATATTCAAAAATAGAAAATAGCATTTATAGATTAATAAAATCTATTTTAAATACTCTTCTTCCTATTTAGAAAAAATCTTTTCTCCCTATTCTTATACCAGGAGACACATTTAGGTTGAAACTTGGAGGTGATAGTCATAACGTAGATTGTAAACAAAACTATATAATAGTAACTTTTTGTTTTTTAAATGAGAGTAATAGGGTTTTGAAGCCTGATCATCAATATTAGTATATTTTATTAATAATTTTAATTGTTTATTATTTAGTTTTAAAATTTTAATTGTTTTTATTTAGTATTTGCCTATATATTGGAAAAGAAAATTATGATATATTGGCAAAGATCAAATGTATATTCGAACCTCAGCTTTTGAATCTTAGGAATAATAGTTGTTTTGATTGTAAAAATATTCATTGGCTAGTAGAATTGTACTTTTGCGGAAACTAAAAGTTTATATATATAATAATATGACTAAAGGCTCCAAATACTGATTATTTTTTGTTTGTACTGTAATTGTAATACAATATCTTATTAGAATATAGATCAAGATTAGGCTAATATAGAAAATTCTAAATATAATATTAGTTGTATAGTATAATACTATAAAATAATAAAATTTTAATTTTTAAATATTTATTTTACAAATTGATATTAAGAATAATCAATTCTAAATATGAGCTTATTTATTATATTTTATTTAATAAAATCAGTCTAAAAAATCAACTTGGTAGAGTTGATTTAAGCTTGTCATGCATATATAAATTATAAAAAATTACAAAATAATGCCAAATTGATAATCATGAAAGTAAAATATCTAAAAGTAAGAGTTTATTTTTAATAATATATATTATACTATAGCTAATCATTTCTATATATCTTTAAAAAATTTTTAATTAGATATTAAAAAACTAGTCTTATTTTTATCTATTAACCCAGAAAATTATATACCTGACATGTTGCATTTGCTTTTACATGTATCAGATATCTTAATAGAATATTTCTTTAATGATATGTTTAAAAAAAAGAGTTTGAAAAACAAATCAAGTTGGTTATTGAAGCAGTGTTCAAGAATCTTAGAATACCATTTGAATTTTTTAAATTATTAATATATAAAAATATATTATTTATAAATTTATATTTTAGATTATATTAAAATTTAAAATTATTAAATAACTAACTCTGAAACCTCAGAATAGTTAATTAACATATTCTAAAATGAGGTATATTTAGCTAATAAATGTTACTTCCTTATTTAAAAATAGAATTTTTTATATTTTTTGTATAACTTATAGCAGAAATAGCAATTTACTATAATGAAAATAACAATTTCTATTTTATATTATAACAAAGACTTCAATATTAAGTTAACAATTTTAATAGCAAAGGTTTGTAACAAATTAAAATAAAATTAGATTAAAAAAAATTTTTCTAATTTTTAAAAAAATTTAAAATTTTTTAGAAGATATTTTTGTGAGTTTTTTTAGTATTAAAAGTCAGGTTTAGAGTTAGAATTATTAATAAAAAAGTATATATAAATATTATAAATTTTAAAAGCTAGTAAGAAAGATTTCTAATTTTATTTTAATCTAATTTTATTTTAATCTGCAATAAGGCTTAATACTAAGGATAATAATTTAAAAATAAAAATTCTGATACTATAAATAATAACTTCAATAATAAAATATTAAAAATAATACTAAGCCCCTATTCTAACTTAAAATTAAGAGAAATTTACAAATAATAACTCAGAAAGTGAAAATAATCAAATAATTTCAATAACAAAGTATCAAAAAACAATTATAATAAAATTTTTTAAATTATTATTAAATAAAATACAAAAAAGAAAGCTTATTTTAAAATTAATTACATATTTAAATAAGGATAGGACTAGTAGTGTGGCATGCACTTTGTGCCCCCTATTTTGATTGGTCAAAATATTTCACATAACTATATACTACTATTTAAATATTCTTAGCACTTCTATTAAAAAACTATCGTTTGTGGCCTAAGTAAAAATATATCTTATAAAATTTACTAATAATACTAACTTGTTCTAACTATAACTATAATGCAGCTTTATTTATATTTTATATACAACCAAAAACACAACAAACTTGTTTAACAACTATACGTATATATAATAAATTTTGCCATATTTAGTACTATAGAATCTGTGATAGATTGTATATACTATTCAAGAAATTTGATAATTCTTGCATAGTATATACATATGTATGTACATATGGGTATTATAATTAATATCACACAGTATCTCGGCATTGCTACAATAGCTTTAGAATAATAAAAAAAAACAGTTTATATAAAGTATAATGTTATCTGATTTGGAAAATCCAAATCAAATATATAACAAAAAATTTTTTGATAAAATCATACTGCTCAACAAAAAAAAAATTCTCAGCAATTTTCTATACTAATCTAAAATTTTAATTCAAACCCTAACTTAAACTTTATAGTATTTGCATATGGTCGCATGGGTATGAAATTTGTAGTAATGCTGAAAAAAATAATTACTTATATTCCTTGTGATAATAAAATATTTTTCTAGCAACAATAGAGAAAATTTTATTGTTACTTAAAAATATCTTATTATTCTATCTGCACAGAAATTAACTTTTACTTAACTATTATCGAATGACCTTTCAGACATACTATCATTTCATCTTTTCTATAAAAACTAAAATTTCTTTCTTACCAATTGTAAATAACTCAATTGTCAGCTAATGATGTCAGTTAAATTGCAAGACACAACATGAAATACATATGCTCTTTGAAAATCAATATAAAATGAAGTATGTAGTATAGAATTTGAGCTATACTCAATGTTGCAAATGCAAATAAAATGAACTTAAAATAGAATGCATTGAAATAACTAATAATTCTGCTATATTTTATCACTGAGTTATTGTTATGTCTCATTATTCTTTAATTTCTTAACACAACTCCTGATATTATACCCTTGTTTACCACAACATGTATATTTATTTGCTCTTTTTAAGCGCTGTCTTTTGGTTAGATTTTTACTATCATTTTCTATGTTATTATCCTCTAATCTGAAATTATTATCCTCTGATTCAGTATTATCATCCTCTGATTCAGTATTATTATTCTCTAATTCAGAGTTATCATCCTCTGATTTAGAATTATCTTGCTTTTTTTCGCAGCTTCTTATGTTGTGTCCTTGTACACCACAATGTTTATACCTGTTACTTCTACTTTTAACTGACTGCTGATTAATTTTGATGCTAGAAAGAAAGCATTGTATTCTTTGTGATCGACCTTTTTTAGCTTTTGTTACTAGATTTTTGACTATCAAATGATTAGAGTTTAATTGCTATATATTTTTCTTTTTTAGATTCACAGTTGTTTTGCTGGTGAAAAATTGGTATTATTTCATTTTTTTAAAGTCCTCAAGCAATGCAGCTAGTTTATCATCCAATTTTAGTTCAATAGCTTTGTTTATTAAAGTTTTGGCAAGCCCAAAAACCTTTGCATAATGTTGCCTCTCTTTCAAATGAGACTGTGCTATTTCAATTTCTTTATTTGAAAATTTACATATATCAAAACTTGAAATCAGATTCCACGTTGCAGAAAGTTGGTTTTCATTATCATTATTAGAAGTTCTAGTTGAATAAAGGATTGGTTGCTAATATCGTTATTGTAAACCTGATTCTTGTACCAATGCCAGTTGATCATACAAATATGAAACCTCGCTGATGATGTTAAGGACATAATATGAAAAAAATGTCAACAAGTCCAACCTGAAGTTGTGGATAGCTTGCAAGTGCATTGATAATTACTGTCGATCAGAAGGAATACAAAATAAGGAACAACTGAATATATAATATGCTGTACTTCCCAAATTGAGACAATTTGATTTTGAAATTCATGAAGAATAGTACTTGTATACACTTGAGATAAATCAAAAACCTCATCTAAACATGCAGTCTCACAATCAACTTCATTATCTTTAAGAGCTGTATAGTTTATAGACCTTGCATTATACAAAAAACTGTAATTCATTTGTTTACAGATTTTGTTGACAATCGGTAAGGTTATAAAAGTGCAAAGCTCAAGGTTGACATTCAAAAAAATTGTATTGTAGATGTTAGGTGGTGAAATACGTGGTATTGTTTCTTTCTATGATATAAACTCATTATTGATTTGATATTCTTGGAGAAATTTAGTAACACAATTGCAAACTTTGAATAATATCACTGATCATCCATTCAATTTTACCTTGATAGCATGATTTATACTTTCAACTCAACTTGTTGATTGCATACCTGATGTAAAACATGAATTTGTATAGCATTTGGCCCACGCTTTTTTATTTTAATACAGATGTTTAAGATAATTTTGGGCAGCAAGATACTTCTCAATTAGTTCAGAATATTGATTTTCAAAATCAATAATTTTAAGCTTATTATGACATTGAAAAAATGCTCTAGCAAAGCCTTCATATTTTTTTGAAAGCTTACTTTTCAAATTTTTTAAAATATTTTGCTCAATGTGCCATATACAATAAAGATATTGTATTAAAGGATATGTTTGCGCAATTGCTACATCTATAGCCGGATCAGCATCCGTAATAATAATTGGTAGCAAAAAACTATTAGCTTGAACAAGTATTCTCAAACTCCATGAATATGACTCTGATGACTCATCCTTAAGAAATGCCTGAGCAATTGGTCTTGAACTATAATTATTGTCAACAATTATAAAAAATAACAATGGTAAATTATGAACATTTGTTTTTGCAGTATTGTTATGTGCAACAACAGATCCATAGTGAGCATATAATTCAATTTGATGTGGCTCTATCCAAAATAAATATGTAAGAGATAATGTAACCGGATCAACTTTATATTCAACGACCTATTCTAAAACAGTTTTTTTGTTAAGCAAGTCATTTAATAAACTTGAGACATCACTAAGTGCTAGTAATTTCTTATAACAAAAAATGTCCAATAGCATTGTATAGATCCTTTTCACAACTAGGGCTGTTAATTGGTCCGGTCTGGGCCAACGGTCCTTCGGTTCTTCCAGAGATCAGCCGGTCTGGTCCTTTTTAGAACGGACCAAAAGGACTGTCGGTCCTAATAGTAAATATCAAATAAACTAA